ATGATGACGACACCTGACCGATCACAATAAACAAGACGCCAGTGACAATCAGGGCATAATCATCAGCCATAATCTCACCTGACAGAAACCTGTCCTTCATCTTCCGTAGGCTGTATCAATGCGGGGACGGGGCGTCTCTCCTCTGTGGAATTTCCACAAATACGCAAAGGCGGGATATAAAGATAATGCTCAGGTATGACGCCGTCGTGTTGGTGCCGAGATTCAAATCTTTTCTCCAAAGACGATCGAGGTGAGGATTGGGGACTAAATGGTGTTGAATTCTGCATTTCGTCTGCAATATACAAGCAAACAGAGAAGACAAGCCGCAGCACGAACTAGACATGTAAATACAATCCTTAAAACAATTTTTGTTTTTTTGCACGAGTCTACAGAAACACAAATCCCCCACGAATTCGTTTCTCTCCGTCTTCTTAATTCCCCTTATATATAGGTAGTCACCCAAAAACACAAGTGAGCCGTCTGTAGTCTGCTTTGCGGATCATACCTTGTATACTATTGGTCCGCTCAACAGAAACAGAGATGCATTCTTCTTCGGTTTGTGTTGAGAAAGGAGGACCTGATTCCTGCATTTTTCGTCTTTCTTCAGCTCCAAATACATCAACTTCGTCGTTTCCTGAGGTGAAATCATCGTCTACTAAACCCAGTAATATCTTTTCGAAGGTCGGAGGCGGGAGGCGGCGAGGCGACATCACTTTTTTAGGGGGAGGCCTAGGGGGGGCTTTGCACGGAATCTCTTCAGCATTTTTTCTGACTGGAGAGAGGACAGCCCCCTCTTTTCTTTTCTTCCCTTGTGTTTCACGTTTGGATTTACTTTGGCTTCTGCGGTGGCCATGACCTCGATTACTGTTGGATCGTCTTCGCCTGTGGTCCGTTGACTCCTCTCGATTCTTCTTGCGCTCGGCCCTACCACGAGAGCGAGAAAGGACCGTGAATGATTCAGGGCTTTCTGTTTCCTGTTTGCAGCTTTCTGGGCCTACAGGACTGCCCCCC